GCGTGATTTACTTTTTAATATAAATCAACTGCTTGAGTTGTTTGTTCAGAAATTTGATAGTGAATGGTGATCAATGGTTTTAAACATTTAGATAGGATTCAATTTTTTTATAAAAAAAAAATGATATCATTATAACTTATATATGCTGTTTAACAAAATGTAAACAGTCCGGCATATGGAAAGAAGGAGTTCCAAGTAATAAATACTGAAAAACAAAAATTTGACTACCTAATTTGTGTTTTGTAAAAATAAAAGTAACACAATTTTTTCAGAAAAAAAAAAATAAAAATTGAATGTTTCCTGATCATATACATTTCTTAGAAAAAAATAACAAAGTTAAATAACTGCCAATTATTTGAAATTTGATTATTCAAGAAACAATAAAAAATTATCATATATTGACTATTCTTAATATAGTAAAAGAATATATATTAGAAAAAATAGATTTAAATACAAGTATAAAAGAGCTTTAACTTAAAGAGGTTACTAATATTAAATATAAAATTTGTGAAGCTTTTAATACTCATTTTATTATTAATATTAACAAAGAACAGAATATTCAGAAGTCAATTGGTTTTTTGAAACAACATAAATATTTTATTGAACATTTTTTTATTTTTCACAAATCTACCTACAGATTTGTTTTTATTCATCCAAATCAAATTCTAAATCTTGAAAAATTTAGATGACTATCTCTAATAAATTCTATTTATAAAACAAATCAATATGATTATTGATTATTTATTCTATATATTCAAAATGAATATAGATACTGAAATGTTGATACCCATTTTTTGTAAGTAACGAAGATTTAGATATTATTTTTGAGGCTTTAAAAATTGTTTGTCAGTTTGCATGTAATTGAAAATTTAGATATTTCCTTTAAGATCAAAGCAACATTGAAGAAAAGAGTATCAAGTTAATTTTTTTAAATCTTATAAATGAAAAACGAGAATATGAAGTTATTTTTTGTACTGTGTATCTTCTACGAATTTGGATGTATAAAATATATAATGTAAATATTCAAAAAAAAAATGACTTAAGCAATATATAAATGAACACAGATTGAATACAAATTATTTATTCAAGAGGCAATTAATCAATATTCAGTTCAATCAATTAAACAATATATAAAATAATATTATTTTTAAAAACAATCATTAATAAATACTTTGGACACATTAGTATTCCCCTCTTCTTTTACAGATAACTTTAACAAATATATTGAAGTCATTTCATTCTAAGTTAAAAAAAATAACTTCTCTGTAACATGATATAATTGATACATATTTTAATTTTTTTTTATTAATTTAATATTTATACTTTTGTTTTTGTTTATTCATTATAATTTTATTTTGTTTACCTATTCTTTAGGTTATCTATTTATCTATTTCATCTGTTTCATTTATTCTATATTGTTCTATTCATCATTCTATCTGTTCCATTTATTTTATATTGTTTTATCTATTCTTCATTTACTCCATTTCTTTTTTTTTGTATTGTCTATTCAATTCCTTCCTTGTACTGTTCATTCCATCCACTATTTGTATCATTCATTCTGTTTGCTATTTGTGTTATCTATTTTGTCTATTATTTGTATTGTCTGTTTCATCTATTTTATTTACCATCCTTTTACTCTATTTTATCTATTTATTTATTTCACTTGTTTCGTTCATTTGATTTTTTTTATTTAATCATTTGCTATTTAATTTTTTAGGTGCATGCCATAAAATAGTTACACTTGATTAGAAAAAATAAGCAGATTTCAAATTTGTTTCTTTTGAGTTTCAGACTAAAAAAATTTCAGTTATGGATGTAGATAAAAAAATTCTTTAGGAAATTTACAAATTTCCTTTTCCTGTTCAATGTGTACTGTTGAAAAATAACTTGAAAAAAGGAAATCTACTTTAAACTTGACATCAGTAAATTGCAATTGTTTATTTTGTCATTGTTACTTACTTTCCTACTGTCATATTTTTTATGAATATATGTATGGTGTCATGAAATTGCTCACATCTGATATCTGAATAAAATTTTAACAAATTTTTGAAGAAAGTAGATTTGAGATGTACATATATTACAAATTAACTAAGGTAAATATTTCAAAAAATATTAAAGAAAAGGCTGCTGAAAATTGATGGTTGGTTGTAAATAAATTAATGAAAAGAACTTATGATATTTATTGAAAGATAGAAGAGAAGGGTAATAATAAACAAACAGATAAATTTCTTAACAAATTAAAATCCTGTTTGGAACTTGTACTAAATAATATAAAGACAAAATAAATAAATAAAAAATTGTAAAAAAAATTATATTAGTAATATATTAAAAATAAATAAGTATAATAAATTGATGTCTTGACAATGAGATAATTTTTTTTTATTATAATATGAATTATTATAATTTATTAATAAAACAGTTTTTATGATTGATGAAATTTTTCTGGAAACAAATTTGATTGTTATATGATCATGTGACATTCTTGTAATATGATTATATATAATCAGAGACAATGATTTTTTGTGATATTATAAGGTAAATTTTATATGTGATAAAGTCAAATTTTGTGTTTTTTTGTGAATTACTAAATATAGGTAATTTGGTAATATATTTTAGTAAAAATTATGAATTTATATAATAGAAAACAAATAAATTGTGAATTTATATGATATAAAAAAATAAATTATATGAATGTAATAGATTTTTAATAAATTTTGTAAAATTTTATGACAATTTAAAATCTAAAATTTTGTGATTTTATGTGATATTATGTAATTACATAAAATTATCATCCCTGTATATAATGAACACTACTTTAGATGACTCCTGCCTTTAGATGTAATATATTAAACTTCTTTACCTTTTCATATTTGTATTCAAGCTCTTTTAAATATTTTCTTGTGATGTTGATATGAATTGTTAAAGATGACACAAATTCAAGTTCTGAAAAACAAATCTCATTTATCTGTATCATTAATATTTATGAAGTAATATTTTATTTATATTTTCAAACATATGATTTAACTTGAAGAATATCCTTATCCCAAAGAAAACTTAATATTTTAACATAATATCTACAACAAGAATAAAAATTTAACAGGTTATTATATGCTTATGTATTCAGAAATAAATGTATTTGATATAATATACTTCTTTTCTTGCTGTATTGAAAACAACTTTATTTATATCTATATTTTTAAATAGTTATATTTTATAAGTTGAAGATAAATATGAATTTCATTTAAACTTATTTAAATTTCACTTTTTATTTTTTTCTTTTAATATCTAATTAAAAGTAATTAAGATTTCATTATTTCAATCATAACCTTTAATTTTATTATTTAAAAAGTTATCAGTATTATTATTAGTTTCGTTATTTCAAAAGGAATACAATATAAGGGTTCACTATGTTGTTTCATGTTGTTAATAATTCTTTCTTCTTTTATATGAATTGAGTTTCTTATATAATGAAATTTACATATTTTATGAGAGATAATATTTTTTTGTTACTTTTTGAAGTCTTGTTATAATATTTACAACATTATTATTTTCTGTTGGCTCATTGTGACAATTATCAAAAATATTATTAATATTGGAACCTTATGATTTATCAATATTATTATAATCTATAATATTATCATCAATGGAATCTATACTATCAATAGTACATCTTCACATGCTTTTATTGATTATTTTTTTGATTTTGTTAGATGTAATATATTTAAAATAGATTTATTGAGGTAATTTTTTACAAATGAAAAAATCATTAAAATAAATTCATTGTAAAAAATTTTTATTAAAATTTTTTTAAAAAAAATGGAAGTTTTTTTTTTATAAAGTTCTCCACATCAGACATATCATGTGAATGTAAGCCAATGATATTGCAAGATTTCTTGTTCATGTGATGAAAGATCTACAATTGAATTTTGGCCACCTATTTTGCTGGGACTAGGATGTACGCACTGTAGTATGATTTAATATCTCGATTTGTATTTTCACTTTTTTTCTTCCATCACACAATGATTGTATGATATAAATCCAAAAAATTACCAATCCCCTCTCAGATTCTTGTGACGTTTCGGCGGATAGTTCTTCGATAAGTAGAGGAAACACCCTTAGTCTTCGCTTTTTTGTTAGATGATTTATCCGGAAATAATTTGATACTTTTTTTTGAGAGGTGCTTTTATATATCTGAGCATCCTTAAATAGTGATGGCGAAATATCCACTAAATCACTGAAATTCTAACTTCCAGGCATGTTATCAACCTCACATTCCAATTCTTTCTTGCAACCTGGCCTTGAACATATTGGATGTTTTTTGATAGATTTTTCTATGCAGCACGGTGATATATGTGACCACAGGTAAGTAATGTAATTGGTTTTTAATTTCGTGCAAAAAAAGTTCCTGATTACATATCGAACATGGTTCTAGTTCGGGGGCATTATTTTCGCCTATGATTTTTTCTAGTGACGTAATGTTTCGAGACATGAGATATCGGAAGACAATAATAATCGTCGAAAAAAAAAGCATTCCTCTTCTATCGTTTATATATCCGTTCAATTATCTGTTAACGATGTTCAAAGTTATTATCCCAACTTGATATATGGAAAAGTTTATTATAGCAGAATAGAAATGGAAAGGTAGAATTAGTGGATTGGCGAAAAACATAAATTAATTAAAAAATACCGAATGGGACTATGTATTATCGAGTTACCAATAACGATTCATTTTAATACGAGTGATACGAGATTTCTGAATCATCGTCAATCTCACTTAGTGTGAATTTTTTCGTTATTCAAACCTTTTTTCTTCGAACATCTACTAGGAATTTTTATTTATTTAATTCGTCTATATGATCCTCTATAAAATGTAAACACCTTTTAGTTTTTCTCCATATCATTGATTAAACCAGAAAGCTTTTTATATTGTTTTGGGAGCTTTTTATATTTTCGTTCATAGCTTGGTTTTAGTGAAATAAAATTAATATCAGATCCACTATCTACTCATTGTCCGTTTTCCAGGGAATTTTAACTATTCCCTTTTCTGATTCACGAACATGTACTTTTCGATCTCTACCTGCTTTTGCGCCAAAGTATCGTTTTTGAGACACCAATGGTTATTTTTTTGATACATCAAATACGTGTGACAAAAGTGGTCATTTTTTTGATATGTTTATATTGTTTTTTTTATAGATGCATCAAAAAAATAACTATTTTGTCACATGAAATTTGATATATTGAGGCGGCACGAAAATAGCCGGAGTCACGGGGGATGATGGAGGATGATATGTGTCACTATTGCTAAAGTATCGTTTTTGAGACACCTATGGTTATTTTTTTTGATACATCAAATATGTGTGACAAAAATGGTCATTTTTTTGATATGTTTATGTTGTGCCTCAGATTAACGATTAAAACTGGCCAAAATTAAGGTAGGGTTAGGGTGAAATTAAAAGGATCAACATAGGCTGGTTTTATAATTCTGGTCAATGGGTGACACCTGACGTACCTCAGTGATGATCTGACGTAAATTAGAGCTTATCAAAGACTATTAAATAACGTATTTTTTTTAAAATTTCTATATTTAGATACAAAGTTATAACAATTTAAAAGTGTGAACATTTTTATAGTAACAGACGAAAGCCCGAAAGAGAAGATAAAGGAAGATTTAATGTAAAGTAATATTCAAGGAGCATGCTGTGTTCAATGAGGTCAACGGAAGTGCAAAAATATATATTTTTTAAATATTGCACCTTTTTTTTGGTTACATCCTCAACAACGGTGGTATGAAACTAAAGAAAGTGACTTAAATAATTCGCGTATTTTTTTTTTAAAAAATCGATGACAGGGGTTATTTGTTTGGAAACTATTTTTTTTTTGCCCTTTTTTTTTAGATAAGAATGTATTGTATTTCGTAAATCGATAAGAAACAGGTATGAATTCTTGTATTTTAATTATTAGTTATATTCTCTTCTCAATATTGTTCTTTTTTACCTTCTTAGATGGTTAATTTCACAATTTCTTAACTCCAAGAATGTTTGTGACCACATGACTCATTATCTAAGATAATAGCATGCTTTGCACGCGCATAAATAAATAAGAATTCTTTCTTTTTGGTTAGTATTATAGTAATAGTACCTTAAATACAAATATGTATGTTTATATAAATTTTTTTTCGTTTAATAATAAACAAACGAGAAGCAAAAAAAAAATATATATATAGTTTGATATTTGTGTTCATACTTTTTTTTTGCAACTTTAAAAAGGGGGGAAATTTTTTTTTAAAACTTTATTACACACCAAACTTTATTTTACTGAACGTTATTGTCATGCCATTTATATAATTATGCTACTAATTATGGCATATATCAATTATATTTGCATTTGACAATTTCATACATATTCAAAGAAAAAAAAAGAATTATTTATTATATTTTATTTAAAAATGGAATTTAATTATTATTGGATGTGGAAGCAAGAATTTTAAGAACATAGTTTGAAAAAATGTTTACAATAAAATATAAAATATAATTGTGTAAATATTGTAAAGAACTTTACATCTTGGATAAAACTATTTTATTATTGAAATACAATAATAATGATCGTAGACGAATGTTTAAACAATAAATGAATATTAAAATCATAAGGAAAAACCATAAAGAATTTTTATAACTTCAAATTGAAGTTAATCGTATTGAAATTTGATGCATCGATATTTGACATTGCGTTGTAAGTTGAAAAGAATAATATGTATATATATATATAATTATAATAATTATAATTAAAAATGAATAAAATAATGAATAATGAATTGGTTAAAAAGAATATTTTACAGTGAAAGGGGAAAAACCGGAATATGAAAATATTTATTTTTTACAAACAAAATATATATTATATAATTTTTAAAATGTTCAAAATGTTCAAAAATTAATACCAAAAATATCAAAATATCAAAATTAATAATAATATCTACTGTAACAAATCTCGCAATTATCCCAACGATCAAAATTCGTTTTATAATGATTTGGTGTGGGAAGGAGATCAAATGCCACTAAAGATTGCAAAAGTGAAAATAATTTACTTGGTTTTCTATTTTCTTCTTTCTCTTTTACGGTTGTATCTTCTTCTACGAGATCATTATCGTCGTGAGTTTTATTCTCCACATTTTCCTCTTTATCGATATCCACTTCTTCATTATCTTTTTTCTTATCGTTAACATTAACATCATCGCTAACATTAACATCGTCGTTATCATTATTGTTAACATTATCTTTTTTATTATTATCCTCTTCTGCATTATTTGTAAAGAATTGTATCTTTTCACTAAACTTTTTAAAGAAATTCTTAAATATATTATTATTATTATTATTATTTTGTTTCTCTATTTTACTTAATTGTTCTTTTAATAATTCAATACTAGAAATATTAGTAGAACTATTCGTATTATTATTATTATTATTATTATTATTGGTATCACTTTTGTCGTTGGTATCTTTAATAATATTAATATTGTTATCATCTTTTTCAATATCGTCGTCATGTAGCTTATTAAACAAATTAATAATTACAGCAAATGCCTTTATTTCTTCACCAGTAGAAATTGAAGGTAAAGAAAAAACTGATAATTTTTCTTTAGTTAATAATTTTGGTATCATATCTAAACTATTAATCGAAGTTACTGTATTAGTGTATTTCCATAAATTTGGTAGACATTTACTTAATTTTCTTCTTCCTTCATTCTCATTACTAAATGATGTCGATGTTCTTGAAAGTATTCGTAGTTTTTTGTTTTGAGATCCAGTTTTTGAAACATAATTTTTATAAGTGGAACTAAAACAATAGTTGTTATTAGTAGGAGAACTACTTAACATTGGAGAACCAGGAATTGGAGAATCGACGTAAGTGGTATCAGTATATTTTGAAGAAGTAATTGATATAGTTGAAGCATCGTCATCATCATTGTAGTAATTATCATCATCGTATTCACATTCATCGTCATATCCATTATTATTGTTATTATTATTATTATTATTATTATTATTAATAGTATTTAAATATTCTTGATATTCTGATAAAAATTTTCGAACGTGAGGTAAATCATTACTTTCTTCTTTTTCTTCGTCTTCGTCTTCGTCTTCGTCTATTACTTCTGCTACTAAAATTTCAGCCAAGTATTTTAGATAATCATTTATATCTTCATAAATACGTTTTGCATTTACAATATCGTTATTATTTTCAGTTTCTTGGAATTTAATTGTAGTGTTAGTTAATGGTTTAGGAAGAAAAGCATCAGAAGTGTTTAAAGTGTTTATTATGGTGGAAGTCATTTTTGAAATAAATATCGCGTCAAGAAAAAAAATTGTATACTAAATACTATATAATAATAATAACGATAAATGTGTAAAGGAGAAATATTGATCATGTATTAACACATTGTTAACTGTATAATATTGTATTGAGTACAGGTAGTAATTCGATTAAATTTTATTTTAAAAGAAGAAAGAAATAAAATTTATCTTTAAATTTGTATTAAAAGAGATATATATTTGTATATATTTATATTTATACGACGATTGTTATATTTATGCAATTATATAAAGGGGAAATATTATAAACACGACACGAACAAATAAATATATATTATTCGATGTGTTGTAAAGGAGTAAAAGGGGGTGAGTAGAAAATTAAATAGGGTTTATATAGCCTTTTTTATTAATACTTTATTTTATTTTATATTTTATATTTTAAAGTTTTAAATAAGCAAAAAATCGCGTGATCAAGAGGGTGATGTATTTTTTTTTTTATATATAATAATGCATGGAATAAAGAAGGAATGTATATGAAGGAATTATTAAGGTTTAGTCGCCAACACAGTCAGAAACAGTACAATTAAACAATCACAATAAGATAATAAATAATAATCTTTTGATTTTTGATATTTATAATAAAAAGATAAATAAATAAAAAAAGTAAATAAAAAATAAATAAATAATAAAAATAAATAATATATGATATATATATGATATGATAGGAAATATTTTATTTGATATTTCTTATTTATCATCTATTCAAACATAGCCTCCTCTAATATTCTAATATACAATAAATTCAGCCTCAAAATTATCTCTATAACTAATAAAATATATTTATTATTTATTGATAATTATGCGTTGAAATTTGTTATTAACTGATTTGATCTTTCGTTAGCGATCAATTAATAAAAAGAAATTTAAGGATTGCACACACGACACGTGCACACAAAAATATTTCACTTTAAAAAATAATTTAGGAAATGGATGTGATGAATAAATAAAGTAAATAGAAAAACTCGAATTTTATCCTGTTTTTTTTTTGTTGGATATTTTAATGGTTCCATTTTAGATAATGAAATATACATTTATGATAACTCGTTTAAGATAAAGCACAGATATTAATAAGATTGCAGGATAAATAAATAAGCATTTATATTAAATATATTACTTATAATAATTATTAAAGAAAGGATGCCCCAAAGATTTATTCGGATTTCAGCCGGGCATCGTTTTCATCTAATTTAAATAAAAATAAATATATCTGAATTTATGCAAAATTAACCCTTGAATAGAAATTATGCAAAACAATAATGCATTCAAAAGAATTTTATCATTATAATCTATGTAAAGACAAGAAAACATAAAGACAATCTAAGTAAAATATATGTACTGTATAAAGATAATATAAAGAAGGTATATGTAAACGATAAAAGAGAACTCACAATTTGCACATGCACACATTTAACACACGAGCCACAAAGAAAAAGCAGGATAAATCTGGAATCCTTGTTTTGATTTTTTTTAGAGAAGCGAACACCACTCACTGCACGCACGCATATTCTTTTTGTCAAACAAATGAAATTTTTTAATAAAGTTAAATTTCCAAAGTAATGAGATGCAAATAAAAAAAAAAGCATCAATCTTTTCTTTTGCAACAATACCTGTAATGTTCTTATTCGTATTTTTTCTAATATTATTTATTAATCTTTATTAATTAATATTTTTTTTGTATCTTCTTTTCCCGCCTTGAATAATTTCGATAAACGAATGAAGAAAATGTATAATGAATATTTTTAGGCGGGATAATAAAATTTTAGTTTTAATCTACTTTAGGTAAATATCAATAAAACTAAAAATAAAAAATAAATTTTAGATAATTGTGACAAATACACAACATCATCGGAATAATTTTTGTAAAGATGTGATAAAGCAGTACTACCATATAAAAATATAATGGCTCTCTTTTGGCGTAACAAAAACGAAACAAAGTAAATCTGTTCAATGATATAATGATGTAACATCAAAAAAAAAAAAGCTCTATTTTAATAATAGAAATTAGGAGAATTTACATAAATAGTGCTACGTATAACTCTTTGTAATTCAATAATTAATAATAATTAATGTACAATATTGTTTGTGCTACGGGGATAGTTATAGTTTGTATAATTTTAAGAAATAGTTTTTGCTAATAACTTGAGATAGAGATGTTCAATTTGAACAAAATACCTACATAATAAGAATTTTTCTACTGATAAAGATAGTGTTCAAGTAATTAATTTACAAGTATTGTCCAGTGCAAAAGATTTGCTCCTCAAAAAAATATTAATAAAAAATTTTTTTATTTATTAAACTTTTTTTTTATTTAAATGATATCAATACATATTCAGAAGTATGATATATAAATTTTATATGGAATTTATGCATCATCATTGGAATTATCATAGTTATTAATTTCTTCATTGATTAATTGTAGATTTTTATCAGAATCAAAATATTCCTTGACATTTTTAAGTGCTTTTCTCCAAAATCCAACTATAACATGTGAATTAATTTTATTTTTAAATACATTTAAAAGTGTATTTCGAATAGATAAAAGATTTGTATGTGGACCTAAACTTGCAACTTCACCCTTTACAACTGTCTAAATACCTTTGATTGGTTGAAGCTCACAGATAAGGAGGAGTAAAAAAAAACTTGATGATTATATTGTTTACTATTTAAACACAAGAAAATGGTACTTTTTCTTTATTCATTCAAACCAGTTCACAAAGCTCTAGACTTCTTAATTCACTAGAAAAAGAAATATTATGAACAGTTAGCCAATTAACAATTTTTATTTTTTTTTTGTGCTTGATGTTTAAATACTTTTAGTTTGCCATTTATGATAACTTGTTTCATCTATATGAATGTCTACCAGTTCATATTTTTCATGAAGTATTTTACAAAGGATCAAAAAAAGGTTTTCAAAAATTTCTACATTAAAGTTTCCATGGTAATCTATCTGATTAGAAACAATATTGGCATCTTTAACAACATCAAGAATTCTTTAGCATAATTTCTTTTTCTTTCTCAGTTATTTAGGAGTTTAATTGCTGGATCCCAAATATGAATAGAGTTTGAAACAAGTTCACTATATAGCTTATTAGAAGACCCATTTTTAAATATAATAATTGTTCCAAAAATTATTACTAATGAACTATGTTCCAATGTTGACCCTAATAGTCAAATTTTATTTATTATTATATTTTTATCTTATTTATTCATCAGGAAATTTTTCGGCGTAAATTTCCGTAACACAAACGGGACCCACGGAAATTTACGTCCAAAAATTCAATTTTTTTTGACTTTGGTCGCAATTTACGAGACAGGAAGCGATTTTCTACTAAGGTGTTTCTATGACAGATCGAAA